TAGTGGAATGTAGAAGATAGCAATATAGTTGAATATATAATCAAAATTGTTCTCGCTTCTTTTATTAATTAAAATAAAAAAACATTTTCCTGTATAAAATTAAAAATTATCGTATATAATAATACGCAGAAAATGGTGAAAGTGGAGTGCCCTCTCTTTCTTCTTATTTTTCTACATTACGAAAAATTAAAAGTTACATGTGATAGCATAAAAAAATAATTATGATTAATTAATTCGCAATTAAAAAATTATAAATATTTTTTCTTCTTTTACTCTTTTATAAAAAACTACTTTTAGATATATCATTAAATATTATATACATATATACACGTAATGAATATTATATAGAATTAAATATTGTAGATTGTAACACACACACACACACCGATAGAATTTATTGTAAATAGATCAATTTATCAATTTATTATAAATTTTATCAGAATCGATTAGAATAGCCAAATGTCAACAAAGGAATGGTCACACATATGTAATTACAAGTGCTTTCACACCTGCGAGACGTCTGTAATTAAAAATACTGTCTTTAACAGGTATATACGTAGAATTGTGTTATCGGTATAAATAACATAATTCCGGGAAGTTTGCTGTGAATACGGTGCAATGAGAGATGTATGCCTAAATTCTAAGCAAAATCATAAGACTCGTAATATACTCCTGTAAGACTTGTAAGAATTTTTAAGTGCTTATACCTTTATACAATATTTTTGCAGACAGTTTCTTACTAGCCATAAAATTTATAAGAAATCGTAGATATTTACGAATAATCATACGTCTTATACAAGTTTTACGAGGACACATTACGAGTCTTACGATTCTGCTTAGAATTGATCCATTAGTTATATCCATTATATACGAAAGTACAGGATGCTTTGTAACCTTCATTTTCAAATTTGAAAATATATTCTCTGATAAAATCCAAAACGATTTTTTCGGTAAAAATTTCATTGAACGCGATATTCTTTCATAGCATTTTAAACAGACACTTGAAAAATTAATTAGTACTCTGTGTAAGTAAATAATGAAATTGGTTACTAAATTAAATGTTATTATTTATGAATTGTAAGTCGAAATAGCTCTTTTCAAAATTATAAATCTATATGTTATGCAACAAAAATATTATTTTTTATTACATATTATATATGAAAGATAAGTTTTAGAGTGGAATGTTATCATAAAGTATTTTTTTAATTTATACTTTTGCTACGTTTTTGGTAAAGGTATTCCGAAGCAACTTAAAACTCGGGAATAAAAGTTTGCAAATTGACGAATATAACATATTCATACAAGTGATTGGCAGAATTATATTGATTGTATATCAAAAGTGGATAAAGAAAAGTGCGTATCAACTGATAATTAGATTACACACTTTGGTAGTTTACACGTTGGATATATTTACACAGCAGTATTTAGAGATTCTGAGAATAAGATATGTCACGCAGGGGGTCAACGTAATCTCGGATTTTTTTTATTACTAGAAACGTGACTGAGAAGAACGTTGGAATTTCCAGCGATTTTTTTTCTTGAACGCCTCGGGTAACTCACATGAATCCTAAGTGCGATAATCGCAAAACCCGATGTTTGTGGGATTTATCCATATTGTTTACATCTATTTATATAAAAAAGGCGATACAGGAATTACCAATATTCAGATCGCGTAATTTGCTTCTATTTTGTAGAGCTTGAGAAAATCTAGAAAATGAATACTGGAACATCATACGAATTGTGAGACAATTTGTTTTTATTTCGTAATATTTTAGAAATATATTAATGAATGGGTATGAAATTTAAATTTGACTGCTATAATATAATTGCGATGTTCGAATACTCTATGAATATAACAGCTTGACAAAGATCTCTATCTTCGATAACATTCTAAATCTTCAATCGAACGTTTCATGTGAAATCATCTATATGTATTCAATTACAGGACAATATTTTCAATTACAGCACAATAGCGTTTCAATTTTATATTGCTAACTTTTTCGCAGATTGGAATATTATTTATTATTTTCAAAGAATAACTATGTAGCGAATAATGCATGTTTGTATGCAACTGACAATAGCGCCGGAAGTATTATACATGGGTATAAGTGGATTGTTAATTTTAGAATCGCATATAATTACGGTAATGGCTAATAATGGCACATCCGTGGGAGCAGAAAAACAGATTCATTCAACAGATTTTATTCATCTTCAATACAAATATCATAGAACTTGTTTGTAACCAAAACAATTTCAATTTTATTACTATAATTTATTAAATTAAGATAACCTAGAATATGTAATGTCAAGTTAAAGACCTACTAAAATTAAATTTTAAAAAATACGCGAGTTGAAAAAGAAACGCTAAACTAATTTTTATAAAAGGTTGTAATAAGTTTGGTACTTTCGTGAAATATTTTTCCACGCTTTCGACATACCAGTGCTTCGTCATACTTTTCGTTATGACAATAAACGCGAGTCTCTCCGAGGAAAATGCTACGCTTGGTTACTTGGCTGTATCTACTTAACGAGAAATAATGTGAGGAGTGTCTGGTTTGACGTTAGTTGCGGCATTGAGAAATATCACGTGAAACGAATGCAAAACTTGAAAGCGTATGATTTAAACTGTGTGTTTTAAATGTTGTGCATTTTTTCCAACTGCAAATGTAAAAATTGGATTAATCTTCAAACGCCACACTACGAGAACAACACACTTAAATATAGACAACCTAATTCGATTGCTTATAACTTTCATATTGCAAACAATTTTTTTTCAATTGAAAAAAACGGTACCAAGCAATTGTGTATGTTTCTAACACTTCAATAATAGGTATATTTCAACTTTCACTGTTCTCTTTAATGACTTATAATTAAATAAAAATGGATAATATTCTATACATCCTTTAGATAAATGCAAAAAAAAATTTTTAGTTGTGAAACAATTTGCATTAAATGTGTATATAAATAGCATTCATTCTATATTTAAAGAATTTATTAAGTCACGAATTTATAACATCCCATGCGAATAATAAAGAGTTAAGGGTTAAGATAAATGTGCATAACACGGCTCGTTCTTTTATTTAATTATACATTAAGATTTTATCAAGCTGCATTAAACGTCGTAATCATTCTTTATAATTTATAATTATGCTTATATTTCGTTCTTATTCAAAACAGATTTTAGAACATTATCCTCAAAGCATCTTAACGTCAAGATATCATTTGCAGGCACATCGAGCGTTTAAGAAAATGTCAATCCTGTCCCAACTGTCGCGCCGATTTCACGATATGTTGACGACAGACGCGAAACCGGATCCGCCGCGAACCGGAAGTTACATGCACAATCTTTCACCGACTCCGGACGAGGAGTTGACGAAAACGCAAGCGAAGCCCGCCACGATGGAAAAGGAGCAAGAGGACGTGACGTCGTTGCACGAGCAAAAATCGATGCCGAATGGTGCAAGACCGACGACACCCACACCCACCGATTTTTGTAGAAAGCCGGAAGACTTCGGCGACACGAGGTCGACGAGCGAATCGAAGGAGTACAAACGACCAAGGACGAAGACGAAACCAAAATACAAATATTGTAAGTGGTAGAAAAACGTTATCAGTCTGTTACGAGCGACATAATTTTCAACATGAAGCATCGTCTAGAGTTTTATTTTATATTCAAGTACTTTTTACTGCGTTCATAACTTTTATCTAAAACATTTTTCCTTATTGCGAGTTATTTCCGAGTTTTTTTTTACAGTGGAGAAGACGAATATTTTCGCGAAATGTTTTCTTTTTATAGAAATAGATAATGTTAGGAATGCACCGAATCGTAAAATTACCGGATACGGATATCCGAGAAGGCAATTTCTTCGATATCCGATCGGATTCCGAGAAAATGTCTTAAAAAAAAGCCTATAGAGAAAAAATTGTAATTTTGTAACAATGTATAAGATATTATAGCATTATGAATATGCATACTTATTTTTAGAACATTTGTATAATAAAAAATCAACAATTTAATGATATCAAATTTCAACCGGATATATTCTCGGATACTAATGATATCCGACTATTCGGTCGGATAATAAAAAAGTGCCGGATAATGCTGGATACTTTCCGGATATTCGGTGCATCCCTAAATATGAATGCAATAATTTAATAAAAGATATCTTTATGCGCAGAAACTTTTCGAAAATTTGTCAGTGCGATTCTATAATTATGCGACTAGACTTGGTTCGGTAAATGGAAATAAACCTCATTAAATAAATAAAAAGGCAAGATGTGATTAGAGATTACACAACTAAGTAGGCATTTCGACAAGTTGACGTATGACATTTGCATTATTTATAATTTACTTAGCGGTGATTTGGGAGAAAAAGTGCTAAGAAACGAATGCCGCACAGATGTCGCGCTTTTATCAAAATTGAGTTAAGCTAAACGAAAATATGCCACTCCATATATTCCTCTTATAAATATTTGTATGACTGACAATGAGACATCTTATCACGATTAAAAGCATAAACTCGGGGAATACCAAATTGCCGATTTCTATTTGCAGAAGTATTAAAGAAAAGGATACAAGATACCATTTTTTGACTGTTGTGAATAATTTTAATATTCGATTCTTGAAAAATAAATTATTTCATTCGCGAATCAACATATTTTTTAATGTGCAGTTTCACGCGCAACGATGCATTCATATCGTAAAATATTTTATGAGACTTTTTATCGTCTCAATGGAATCGTAATAGCCACCGAAATTTTATGTATCATGCAATCTTCTACTGCTTCAAATCTCGGGATTATTCGTCGTGATAGGATAACTAATATGACGCGTACGATAGTTACAATATTGAAACAGATTGAGTGATGATATCAAGGAGTTAAAGCTCATTATCTAAGCGCCCTAGTTACGCGATAGCTATCCACAGAGGAGACGAATTTTTACAATTATGTAATGATCAATTAAAATATTGTATTAAAGATAGTGAATATTTCACGGAAATGTTTAACAAATGCAACAGATTTCACAAGAAAATTTCGTATGACATCTCACTTTTTAAATAATTAAATATAAATTAAATATAATAATTAAATATAAATGTAAATATAAATTTGTGATATTATCGATATTTCTTCACTAATTTTTTGAAATTAATTTCCAGCACAAGGTACGAATGTAGTAAATTACAACATAGTCAACTCTAATGGAGTGAAGATCGGCTCACGCACGAGTTACATATGTAATGTAAACCAGTACCCGACAAACAATAACGCGACGCAGTCCGAGACGACTTCGAAGCCCAAGCATCGGCCGATGCCCGAAAACGTGGAAGAGTTGAGCACGTGCGAAGAGCAGCTCGGGTTCGATGACATGTTCATTCTTAAGACACACGTTGGGCACGGATGGCGGGACGTTGCGAGAAGACTTTCGTATTCGGACGGACAGATCGATCAATTCGAGGAGAATTATAGACACAAGGGTATCGACGAGGTGAATATCGAACTCTAAGAATCAGATATTCTATCGTGAATGATTCATCATCAATCTTGGTGATTTTTTTATCAGACTGTAATCTTGTTTGAACAAGATATTTAAAATTCATTCGTTGGCGACCGATTACTATTAATAAAACATTAAGTATTATTCATGTAATCAAACGTTTCATGTGAAATTCACAAATTTCTTGTAAATGTATACTAATAACGAACAATTTATGTTAATTTTTATCAATGTACGATTTCAGGTAATCTATCAGTTACTGCTTGATTGGAAGCAAGCCAACACACGGGATGCTCAACTCGGTACGTTAGTTAGTATACTGTGGTCTTGTCAGGAATATGACTGCGTCGAGCGATTAGTTGCAGCTCGCAAGAATCCGTCTTAGTTGGGTGCGACAAATAAAAATCTCTACCTAACGCTTGTACATAACGCTTACGCGAACGATTGTGATTATTTTTTTACTCGAAATAGAATTTCATAGTTTTTATACATATCTTAGCGCATAGTTTATAGACACACGGTATACGCACCATTCCGATAGCAAAGATCGTTTACATTTGTCTATGTCAGATAGGCTGACAGAATATTGTTCTTCACTAATTCTTCACTAATTTCGTATTCAGTCTTCGATACGACATTGTGGAATCGCATTGAGCCTTCAAATAGGAACATGATCTGGTTAATAATACATCACGGACAAACTTGTAACGTCGTTTTGCGCGATACACATGTGTAATATTCCAATGTGTGTGCGTGTATATATATATATATATATATACACATTTTTTTATACTTATCCCTAATTTTATAAAATCTGGTAGAAATAAACATGCAATTCTCCAAATAATATGTATTTCTTTCAGTCATTGTACAAAATCCATATACATACGCCTTTGGTGTTACAGTCAAATCAGGCGTTATATAAATTGAAGTGTATGCACGTACATACAACTACGTCTTATAATAACTTTCTTTCTTTCTCCTATCCTTATATTTTTAAATTCTTAGATTTTATTAGATAAATTAATATATATTTCATACATTTTTACAATTCTTTTCTTTCAAACGTCTTACAAAATAGTTTTATAAAAAAAAAGAATAAAATTTTTTTAGAGATATTAAATATTCTAATATAATTATGCTCATATTTTAACAAATTTTTTTGTAAGTAGTTTATCGTTTATCACGAAATATCTCCGCAAATATTTTGTATTTTCTACTCTTTTGATACTACATTGTTTTGTAATCAATGATAAAATCTAAAATTATTTAAAATGTTAACAAATCTCTGTCATTAATAATTCAGAATAATAAAATAAATATCAATGACAATTCGTTTAAATACAATACATACTGAGTCAGATATAAATTTATTGTTAATAAATTAAAATGCCTTAATTTTGTAATTTGAATACTGACAAAACATAAAATTAATCCCTTGATATGAAATAATTGGTCAATTACGTATTATGTTTAACATACTATAAATATGATGAAAAAAGAAATAAATACAGGGTGTTAGTTAAGTATGTTGCCATACTTAACAGAACGATTCTTTGGTTTATTTCAAGTAAAAAAGTCCATATAAACGGTGTCCTAACGGTTTTCGAAATAAAAAAATTAAACGTCTAGTAACAATCTGTTTATTTGAAAGAAATACAGCTTGAACTAGACAAAAACAGAAAAACAAAAACAGGCTTCAGTTCTTCTAATAAAATAAAACAATTAGATGAATTGTTGAAAACGTATGTACAAGCTAACTGACCCGCAGCAACATCAGAACTGAAGTCTATTTTTGATTTTGTAACTTTGACATTTTGTTTACTGTTGTGCGAATGGTAACTCACGTGAAGCAAGGCATATTTATGCAGGAAGATATGTTTCGTCAAACATTTGCGAACATTCACCTGTATTTCGAAAACTAAGCCGTTTAGGACACATGTTTATATAGACTTTTTTTACTTGAAATAAACCAAAAAATCGCTCTGTTGAGTATGGCAACATACTTAACTAACACTCTGTATATACAATAAAGGTAATAAATGCGACCAGTAAAATGAAAATAGTACAATGTACAAAATTGTATGTAACAATTAATTAATGTAAATGCATGACACGTTTGCTTCGATCGTATTTAAATTAATTATTTACTTTAAGATTTAATCTGAAACAGCTTTAATTTTGGGCAGCACGTGATTTGTGGATACCGTAATCATTGTATTATTTACATCGCTATCGTCTATTACCTTGCTGAAGATTTCATTTTTACATTTATCAAATTCCTCCACCATTTCATGAAGCTCTCGATCACCGTTTATCGTTATAACCGGTGATGGCAATGGCTTCAAAATTTGATGATAGAGCCAGTCATCATGGACCTGATGGATTTGCTTCAGATACTCCAACGAGACAGCGGTCTCTTCTTTTCGACCTCGTTGTTTCATTCTCTCGTATACGATCTCAGGTGTTGTTCTCAAGTATACTATTTAGCAAAAAAACAAATCAATTAAATAAATATATACAATAGATGTCACTTCAATTATAATAATTTCTCATAAAATCTATACATTATATGTACCTATCAAGTCAGTTTCTATATTGGCATTTTTCAAACACCAGTCATACCAATTTTCTAATATTGTAACTTCAACGTCACGTAATATATTACTGCGTTTCAAATTTTCAACGAAGCACATTGCACTATAGACAGACCTCTCCATGATTTTGTATGGCGAAGGTGTCTTACAAGTGTGCAATTGGAGCATAGTCAATTGTACGTAAGATTGAAACAAGAAAGCATAGCGAGATGGTTCGCTGTACATTAATTCCTGCAATGCATTTTTGTAATGTTTAATTTTATTTCTATCGTTATTAATATAGATATATATACACAATAATATAATATTAATATTATCTCTCTATATTAATTACATTTATATAATTATTAATATAAGCACAGTAATATTTTATATAAAATATGTATAATTCATAGTTCTAAGATATTAATTTGATTATTTTTTTTTGCATTATTGTTATATGTGCGTTTATTTGATATAAAAATCTGACATTTTTAAATAAAAATATACATTAATTGTGCTTAATTATATATATATATATTAAATAATATTAAATAATATTAAATAATCACTAATCATAATGTTATAAATAATCACTCAATATAACATTTCCTCATCTTTTTACTTGTTGTGAAGTCTTTGTAAATAATTAAGACTTAACAAAAATATTAAATATTTATATTAAACTGTTTTAAGTTTTAAAAGAAAAATATTTTCTGTCTCACCAGTAGATTCGTCCCACGCATATCACGCCAAAGTTCAACAGGTTCTTCTAATACAGTAACATTGTCGAATTTCTTGAAGTGACTTAAAAATGTCGTTTTACCACTTCCAATGTTGCCTTCTACGCACACAGTGAAGGGACGTTTGTACAATTTACCAATAGAACTAGACATTTTGATGAAGGCTTCAAGAGCCTTTTTACCTGAACAGACAAAGCGCTTGATTTCACTATCTAATACTGAGGATCTGCTTGGCTCAATAAGAAATATGATGCCTCATATATTACAAACAGTAATACGGGGTCTATAATAAGAATTATAGCAGTTATAAGTATTAAATTATAAAAAATTGACCAATCATAGTCGATTATTCTTCTTATATATTGGACTGAGATTAATCATCTTCTGCGATTTAAGATCCTATGACCACTACGACTTCTATCATAGACCCCGTATTACAGTATGTAATACTTACTTTAAATAAGATAATATTATGTAGAGTTAACTTATCAACAGTACAGAAGATGTGTGTGTGTGTGTGTGTGAAACAAAATACATCTTAATCAAATCAACACAATGGAAGGATATTATATGTTACTAAATATCATCTTATCAGTTAGAAGATATTCAATGTAATTTAATCAGAAGCATTCTTTTGTACATATTAATTTTTAATTTAGTTAAATTAATATTTAATATTTATTTCTAGTTAATTCATTGTGCGCAAAGTCTCACAGTAACAACTTATTGAAATAATATTTTCATCGACCGAACAGACAATTAAATTCCATTTCAATTCTTAGTTCAACATTTACAACATTTTGTCACTCACCAAGGGATTATTGCACGAGATATTTATTCCTTTGATTCGAAACCAGCTGACTCCTGAATCAACAAATCGAATATCAACGTTCGTGTGACCTGATACAGTGTGCGATTGCAGTGGTTCTTGACGAAAATGCAGTTTGGAAAGTAACGATTCTTGATCTTTTAGCTCGACAATGAGGGAATGACACCAATGAAGACGAATACAGACAACGAACCAGAAATTGCCGCGCAACTTTCCCGCCAAAACAAAACACGAGCGCCATCTCGAATAGATGAGCCCGCCGTCCACCTCACACTTGCACCACCAGCACTTTTTTCCTCTTCCCTCAGGCCGGAATCAGACTACGCATTGAAGATTGAAGATTGAAATTTGATCAATAAGGACAAAGAAATTTTAGCTCCTTTCATTTCGATTGGTGAAATTTGAATTTTTTAATCTTCAATCTCAATCTTCAATGCATAGTCTGATTCCGGCCTCATGGCGAAGAAGCACAAATGTACACCTTTATCGCAAAGGAGGTGCAGCTAAACCAGCCAAACCGAATACACACTCACATAACCAAATATTCGCGTACATAATGACATTTAGTAAAAGCAGAGAATATTTTGAGCGAATGATATCTCCCGATTTTCGTTAAACTTTCAACTTCGTGTTCTCAAAGCGATGTCGATTGCCAGATGATGAACCAATCAGTCGAACGAGTCGAAACATTCGCAGCTTCTAGTTCCTCGAATGCTGGGCTGCGTTTCGTATGATGCGCATGATGCATCTTTTATCCTTGTTATTCACCGAATATTAAACAAGGATAAATGATGCATTATGCACATCATGCAAGAAACGGAACGCACCCCTGGTGGAGTGTTGCTAGATGTGTCGCTTTATTGGCGCTTGCGCATTGAAGGAGGTTTTAGTAACGTATCAAAATCGTAAGAAAATAGGTATTATTAGGGCCACTGTCACCAAGCTCAGTTGATCTAACTAGGCCAGTTAGTCCATCGGAATTGACCAATCGCATTTGTCATTTTGTTTGAAGAATTGACAGATTGGTCAATTCCGATGGATTAATTGGCCCAGTTAAGTTAACTGAGCCTGGTGACAGTGGCCCTTAGAGCATTTGTTTCAACATTGAAAATGACGAAAAAGTTTTAGAAGTACAAAAAATAACCAGATACACATGTTTGTAGTTGTGCATGCATGCGAAAGTACGTATATGCAATTATACAAAATTAAATAATTAACAACTATCCTTATGGCTACGTTTACACCGTGCATTTAGGCCGCGGCCTATACAATAGACGTCCTTGTTTATCCTGTAGGTTAAACAAAGACACCTATCGTATAGGTCGCGGACTAAGCGCACGGTGTAAACGTAGCTAGTGGCTATTTCGACCGCCATTGTGGCCCTAATTGTCTGTAGTCCAATAAGCGCTTAGTATGGCTTAGTATTATTCCCAGCAAACACAAAGTTACATGTAACTTTGTGTTTGCTGGGATTGGTATATGATAAGGTTAGTAGGTCCATATGGCGGACTAATGCGCTACTTTAGTAATATAGAACTTTAAGGTACTTTTTATACTGATGCTCGACACTCATTTTCAGCGTCTAAATAGGTCACGTGATCAAATTGACGCTTGACATTCGTCAATTTCTATCACGTGACTTATTTTAACGCCGAAAATGAGCGTCGAGCGTCAGCATGAAAAGGTACCTTAAACCAGGGAGGGAGAGGAGACAGATCCGAATCTACGACGAAGAGTGCGAACTAAACGAACAATAAAAAGAAACAACAAATAATAGGATCGCAAGGATATTAAATATACCTAAGTATAAATTTCAGAGGAGAGTTCACAAACTTTTATATATGCAAATTATTTATACATACACAACATTTTTCAATGTGTTGATTAGTTACAGAATAAAAAAGTTCTCCAGTAACAAATTCTTTATATTGTAGCCAATCACGCTTAAAAAATTTTTCGATAAATGAAATATCCTTAACGTGTGTCAACAACTGTCAAAATCATCAATGCATTGTCATTGCATGTAGCTTTGCATTTGGTGATACAAGTCGACACAAGTATCGTTCTATTTTTGTTAATCATTGATTCCAGGAAAGATAAAATGTTCGTATCGACTTGGTCATTAAATAAATAGAAAAGCACCCATTATTGCCTTGAATACACACTTAGTTACGTCACTGATACCGGCACGCCTGCACTTGCTGGCATGCTGGCTCAATTACTGAGTGACAAAATGAGTACATGGTGCAGTGGCTTCGTTGTTATACGATTCTGCATCCTACATTCTACCGCTAATTATCTATTAATTCGCTATTGTTCATCATGTCAGCGTTATCAAACCGCATCGTTGCGGAGCATTGTCGTGATAACGCGTTATCAATGTATACCGTACTCACCGGCGGAAGCCATCATTGCAATCTGCTGATTGCGAATTACAACGGGAAGGACTCGGTTTGTTTGATAGGGAAACTCAGCATGACGCTCAGCAGTTGTTGTTTCTATGTTTCTCCCATTTCTGATGCAACTTGATCACTTGATGCAACAATGCAACTGGTAAGGAGTTCCGAACGTGCGTGCGACATGCAGATGGATACACGTGACGACGAACCATGCTAAGTATTATACCTATTATCGATCCGTTCGGAAGATGCATTTATCGACAGCCGATCGATGAGAGACCGCTGTCGACGATGTTACCACTGGAGATAACAATGCTTGAAAAAATTCATAGCCGCGCCTTCTCAGGAATAAAAAATGGTCGATTAAAAAGAATCATGGATGATAAAATGAGAAAAATGAAAAAAAATTAATAATAAATGAGGAATATTGTTTCAAATATACATATATCAGCGGAAACAAATGTATTACATTTATTATATTGATAAAATTGTAGAATATAAAAGGGAGGAATTGATGTTTCTTTTACATTCCAGATCATTATTATAATATTGTGCAGTAATACATGTGCAGTATCGTCTATTTAAAAAAGTGAGAAATACTTAATTTTAAGGAAATAAATAGTTAAAAAGCTATTTATCTTGAATTTGGCTTTCTAATTTAATTATATTACAAAATTAGGAGAGAACATCATTAGAAGAAATATTTATATTTTAATGAATAAGATAAATCGTTGAAGAATTTTCTATCTGCAACATTATTTTTCAATTAGATATTATATTGAAAGAAGGGAATTCGTTACTGTGGAATATATTTTAATTATGAAATAAATGAAGAAATTAACGAAGAAAATAAACATTTATAGAATTTTATTTCCAACTTTTTTATTAGATAATGTATTAAAATATTAATTAAGTTATTGGAGAATACACTTTATCATAATATAAAAAAAATCTAAAGGAGATAAACAATTGAAGACTTTATTTTCTATTTCACTTTTTAATTAGATACTATATTAAAAAAATAAAGATTAGTCATTAGCAATAATTTAACGATGAAATAAAATTTAAAAATTATAATTACAAGCTTTGTAATCGAAGACACCTGGATTTTTACAAAGAAATCATTTTAAAAGTGATACTATCTTTAAAAGAGATCATTTTGAAAGTGATACTACACCTTTGTCTTTATATTTTCAAGGATACTCATCAAACTAGCGATTTTAATGAGAACGTCATCACGCCTTTGTTCACATTTCAGTGATCTCTACGTGCCTTTACATATCAGCACATGTGGCCGACTATAATCTCCGTCAAAGTGCGCCGCCTCATGAACGAAAAGTGGCACAAACGTGGTCCGTTTTTGATTTATACCGCTGAGAGCGGTCCTAGTTACAGCTGGAAACGTATATCCGGGACCGGAGAGGTATCTGGGCTGGGAGTGTGTGCGACTAGCTGCTATAAAGAATTCCTGGCTTTGAAAGTGGCCGCGACGCAAAACTTATATCTGCTAGATGACTTTTATTAGAATCCTCCAGTGTCCTTTACTCAGAGAAGAAGGTTTAACGATATGTCCAACGTTATAATATATTATATAGAATTTTATTATGAGGTAATAAAAATAAATACAAATGGAACTATTTTTCTGTAAATTATCGTAAAAGAATTTTTGATGTTCAAAGGCGCGGCGACGTAAAACTTGCACAATTGCCAGATTACTCTCATTAAAATATTTTTATCTTTAATCAGGCGTCTTTGATTATAAAGTTTTAAATTATTTTGATTTTTAAGTTTCATTATTACATATTCTAATATATCTGAAATTTAATTAAGAGACAACCATAATGAATAAAAATGATTATTTGAGAGTTATTGTAAAAAATTCTTGGCTTTGAAAAACGGCCGACACGAGACTTGTATTTACACTGAGAGAAAGATATTTGTGAGATATATATATTCACATTATGAGATAAACCGTTATTTAATATAAAATATAATGTTATTCCTAGCAAATAAACTATCTATTTTATTTTTTACAATATTAACGAGATATATTTTATAAAAATGTATATTTGATCCATCACAGTCTAATTTTATTATAATCAACAAATATCGAAAAAAAATATTTGCTTGCGAATTTCCGATTTTTTCTCAGTGCAACGCACGTTTATTAAAATTCACTTTCTCACTTCAATAGCGAGCAGAGTTTAAAGTCTTGAAAAATATATAATTGAGAAACGCGAAGAAAAGATTAAAAAAAATTAGCGTAGAAAAATTATTAAGAAAAGATTCTTCAGCTTCGAAAGCGATCAATACAAATTTTCAAGCTTGCTAGATTCGTGGAACTTGTTCTTGTTTCAAAAAGAATTTCACTTGACGGCACATTATATATAATGACATACGCAAAGAATTGATGCAATAAAAGGAAACTTTAAGTATGATACAGTGCTCTTCAATACGATTATTCCTCCGTATTCGTACGCTTGAGCGCGATAGATCTATATTCATTGTGTAATGAGCGAGAATAATTTCCGGTGGAGATAAATACGACGAGAAATTGGCTCTGAGCGTAGCTTAAATCACCGTGTCTTAAATTACCGAAGATAACGTGCCTGGAGATATTTGAATTTCCGTCGAGTTCCGGACGTTTCATGCGGGTTGCGATGTACACGGACTGTCCAATGTCTATTTTGAATCTCGGAGTATTTATAAACTTACCTTTACCGGCGCGAAGTACAACGTGGCCCTTGTGTAAATGGAATCTCTGCCGATCTTGCCGTTAGTCACGTTTTAGCGCCAGATCTACTTCCAATCGAACGTATTATTACGTCCATTCATGTACGATCACGTGTTAAAATTATCTTTTAGTGTTGTTTAAAAAATCGTTAATGAATTATTTTTCAATCGTTTCTTCGATCAAATTTCGATATCTGAACTAGCGTTTAAAAATTTATACTACAGATTACTAAATATATTATAGTTTCCCAAATATAATAAAGTTTCTTTTTTTATAAATTTATCTTCACCAGCGCGAAGCATAATATGGTCCTTGCATAAATGGAATCGCTGTCGATCTTACCATTAGTCACGGTTTGGTGCTAGACGATCCAATCGATCATACTTATTCACTTCCGTAAGATCACGTGTTAATCAATTATCTTTTAGTGTTGTTTAAAAAGTTTTCCCGATCGAACTTCGATATCTAAGTTAGCGTTTAAACATATTATAGTTTATAATGTATTAAATGTTATAGTTTTTTCAGATATATTCAACTATTCTCTATTCTTTTATAAACTCACTTTTATCGATGCGAAAT